ATTATTTACTGCTGGATCTGGATGAACACATTTTTTTGCTATACTACATTCAAATTTTAGTCCATGCAAACTAGATACAATTTCTTCAGCTGCATTGTTTATTGATTGATTTTGGTTTTCTTTAAAAAGTTTAAATAAGTATTTTACTATGCCTTGATTTATTTCTTTTTTTTATTATTATTATTACTTTCCATTACTAATATTATTTAATCGAAGTGATATGATAAATGTAGAGTGATACAGAAAACAGCAACTAGGGTAATTCGGGGCAATATGCAACAACGGGAAAGATGAGACAACTTTCTTGTATCCTTTCTGGAGATAGTAATCATCATAGTCCTTCATTAATATTAAGCATATAGTTTATGGTTGTACTTGCTAAGCTTAATACACCTGTTTTTTGGAATGTTTAGTTTGTTTGATGACAAAATAACTGGTATTTTTGAAACTTAGTAAAGCCATTATTTTTTTCAACGCGTTCCTTTGTGAAGACATGTTCAATGCAATTCATATTCTTGATATATATTTAGATGTACTAGTGTCGTGCTGCTAATTTTTAAAAAAAAGATTTCTTTATTATTCATACCCCAAAACGAAAAGAAAACTTAATTTTATTTGTAATGTAAGAATTTTATGTTTTTAACATACGGTCTTTGTGGGAAAGATGAAACGGTCCATTATTCAGTTGTTTTAATTTTTAGATATATACTTCAAAAAATAAAAAAAAATTTTGTTAACATTTTATGGTTTTTATGATAGTTAGAAATTACAAACGAAAAAGAAATTGTGGAAATTGGGATGAAAACAATATGAAATTAGCTGTCAAAAATAAAGAAATGACATTAAGTAAAACTGCTAATGAATATTCGGTTCCAAAAGATTCTCTTAACAGAAGAATTAATAAATCAATAAAAGCAATGCCTGATAATAAACCACACATAAAATTGCTTGGTTCTTATAGAAAAGTGTTATCTGATGCCCAAGAAAAAGATTTGGCACAGTATATAATCAAAATGGAGTTAGTCTTTTATGGTCTATCAATTAATGAACTTCAAAGGATAGTGTATGACTATGTTGTACGCAATAAAATAAACCATCCATTTAATACTGAAAAGAAACTTGCAGGTCGAGAATTTATAGTTGGATTTTTGAAACGACAACCATTTTTGTCTATTCGAAAACCTGAGGCAGTATCCATAAATCGAGTTTTTGGTTTAAAAAAGGCTGCTGTTTCAAAGATATTTTGACAATCTGGAAAAACTTATTAATGAAAACCAATTTGAAGCAAATCGCATCTACAACTGTGATGAATCTGGATTAACATATGTTCACAAGCCTTTAAAACTAATAGCTCATAAAAGTAATAAGTGAGAAGTTGCAAATTTTTTTATTTGCTTTAGTGAAAAATCAAATTATTATTTGTGAGTCTGTTTTTATTTTTGGTTTGTGTTGTCTAAATTTTTATAATTGTATTTTTACAGGCCAACGTGTTGTATCTTCAGTAACTAGTGGTGAGAGAGACCAAACAACAACTGTTATACTAGCTTTTAATTGTGTGGGACACTACATACCTCCTATGATTATTTTTAAAAGAAAACGGATGCTAGATTCATTGATTGATGATGCACCACCAGGAACAGTTGGACGCTGTTCTAAAAGTGGTTGGGTAGATACAAATTTGTTTATGGATTTTATAAGACACTTTGTAATACATGGAAATTGTAGCACTACAAATAAGTGTTTGTTAATTCTTGATGGTCACAAATCACACACCAAAAATCTTAATCTTCTCAATTATGCTAGCATAAATGGATTGCATATTTTATCACTACCACCACATACATCCCATAAGCTTCAACCACTTGATCGAACTTTGTTCAAATCTTTGAAAAGTGATTATAACTTAGTATGCACAACATGGATGAGAAAGCACCCAGGAAGAAGAATTACAGTTGATAAACTTTCAGGACTATTTTGTCAAGCTTATGTGAAAGCAGCTACAGTGGAAAATGCTATTTCTGGATTTTGAGTAACAGGCATCAGTCCTTTTAATCGAGAAATCCTTCCTGAGTCAGATTATTTTGAAAATCCATGTTTAAAAGATAGTAATACAAACATAATATTTAATGAAATACCAGATATAAATCCTGAACAATCATCTACAACTAATTCTTTAATTGAGCCGAACCAAAATTCGTATGTTCAAACATCCATTGCTAGTTTTTCAGTTAATGAAATAAATGCCTCGTTGTCAATTTCAAACTCTCAACAGCTTTCTTTTACTGATATATTATTAATTCCAGCTATTGAAGTGAAGACAACAAAAAGAAAGGGAGAAAATTCAGAAATTTTGACAAGCACATTGTATAAAAAAACTTTGCAGGAGGGGTTGGAAAACAAAAAAAAAGTTAAATACAACAAAAAAAGTTTATTTTGTTAAGTTAGGGACAGATTTTTTGTGTAAACTGTGTGTGTGCCACGATTATATTTAAACATTCTATGATCCATTAATTTATGTTTTATAGTTGAGTATAACTTGTGCAACAATTTGTTCGGGTGGTGCTTAAGTTTGAACTATGTTTAATATCTATGTTTAATATTTAATATTATCTATGTTTAATATTTAATCTCTAATTTTAACCTATGTTTTTTAAGGCTTATTTAACTGTGGTTAGATTAGCCAAGCAGGTTATTTTTTAAGCTAAAGTTACTATATTTTTTATGAATTATATTTAACACCTTTTATGATAAAAAATAATTGGATAAGTCTCTTATTTTTTCTCTTTAGTAGCATAACATATGTTGTCTCGTTTTGCCCCGTAAGGTGGGGAACATGAGACACGCTGTTGCTATTTATAAAATCCTCTGTGTATCCAATTAAAAATGAATTTAAAAATTTACTTATAAGTTTTGAAAAGAGTTACCATAAGTAAGATTTACTGTACACTTGTTTAGTTTTTTGCTTAATTCCAGGTCTATTTACATATGTATGTATATATATATATATATATATATACATACATAATATATATATATATATATATATATATATATATATATATATATATATATATATATATATATATATATATATATATATATATATATATATATATATATATATATATATATATATATATATATATATATATATATATATATAAATATATAACATTTTTAATATATATATTTATATAACATTTATAATATATATTAATGACCTTACAAATGCCTCGGAAAAACTTAATGTAATTATGTTTGCCGATGACACAAACTTATTTTATTCATCGAACTCAATCAAAGACCTTTATAAATGTATGAACAAAGAGCTTAAAAGATTAAATTTATGGTTGAAATTAAATAAGTTATCACTAAATACACAAAAACAAATTACATATTGATATATTCTAAAAAACAAAAAATAATATACCAACTACCCTTCCTTCACTAAAAATAGATAAGGTAAATATTGAAAGAACAGAAACAACTAAATTTCTTGGGATACTAATTGACGAAAATATATTTTGGAGAGCCCATATATATATTGGGATATTCTACAAATTTAAACCTATATTAATATAGGTTTAAATTTGTAGAATATCCCAATATTTTTTGAAATTCTGAATGCACTAAATGTTTACCAAATTAACATCTACCAAAATGTTCTATTCATGCTTAAATACAAACTTGGGCTAGTCTCATTGCATTTCTTAGATAACTTTTTTTAAGTAAACTCAAATAGGTATATGACAAGAGCAACAGGCAACTTCACACTACACGAAAAAACAACAAAGTTCTCACGGTTTTCTATTTCCTACCGGGGTCCGTACCTATATAACATATCCAAAAATATAGAACTTAAAGTATTAAATAATGCTGCCAACTTGAAAAATAAATTAAAACACCTCATAAAAATTAAGAAAAATGCTTTTTGTAAAAAAGAATTACAAACAACTTAGTTGCCTTAACATTTTTCCGCAATTTTAAAATAAGACATGGATAATTTTCTATGCATATAATTTAAGTCATAATATATTTAGTTTGTTGTGATTAGCGCAAAATGTTCGATATCAAAATAAATGGTTAAATGTATCTATAAATGAAGCTAAGAGTTATGTTAAGAAGCCGAGAACATTAAATTGAGCAGAACTATAAATATATAAAATAAATTTATATTTCATTAGGGAAAATAATAAATTGATATTAATGATACTAATAACCCGTATTATTAATAATTTATTTACTAACAACCCGTATTACGGGTTGCTTACTGCTAGTATAAATTGTTTGTATAGGGACGGTTAGGCGCCAAACCTGTCTATTCAACAAAGTTTAAAATAAGTTAGTTTTATTAAAAAATAAGTTATAGGGGAAAGCGGGGCAACATGGCGAACGTTTTGAAAGCCCTGAGTTATTGCAAAACTATCTGTCGTGAAGCAATAATACTTTCTGAGTATGCTTATCTTATTAAAATGATTCATTGCCTACATGAATTTTCCGTTTGCAAATATAAAAGTTTGAAATAAACATTAAAACAAAAAGTTCATAAATTTGTCAGCTAGTCACGTGATCGGGGCAAGATGACTTATTATGCAATTTTTACCTCCAATTTTATAAAATTTTAAAAACTACTGATAACTCTAACTAAAGTAACAAAAATAAACACAAATTGCAAAAAACTACTTCTAAAGAAGTTAAACTTGAAGGGCACCATCCATTATGAGAAACCGAAAGTGAGGAATTTTTTTTTAAGCGCAAAAAATAAACTAATGCGTTTAAAATTGCGTTAATAATATTTCAAAAAGCCAATCGGTGTTTTAAAATACAAAATGCAAATACTGCTTTGTTTTCACCCAATTAAAAGATTTTTTATTGAGTTGTTATATGAAAACCCATCTTGCCCCATTCGCCATGTTGCCTCGCTTTCCCCTATAATGTTTCTTTGTTTATGTAAAAAATAAGTTATATAATGTTTCTTTGCAAACACCAATACTTAAAATTTTTAAGCACTGAACTGCAACTACTTTTAATTCTTTCGGTTTAGTGGCTTTTGCTAAGAACTTTTAAATTTTGCGTCCAATTATCTCATTTCAACATATTCGTTGTATCATCCATACTATTGCCGTTTTTCAAAACGCCTTAAGGTTAAAAATATCATTTTTGACTTTTTTACAAAATAAGCTTTGTTTTTTTGGTTTTGTCTACAAACGTTATTGAATACATTTTTTCAAAAAGTTCTGAAAAAATTCATTAAAATGATTTTTTTTTTTAAAAACGCTTTCTAAAGAGTTTATATACCGTAAAAACCCCTAATTCCGGATGTAACCTAATTCCGGATGGTTTTAGTAAAAAGTTTTATAACTCCCTTAATATAATGAATTTATGAATAATTTTTTTTAATTAATAAACGTCTTTACCAGACAAATCGAAAAACAAAAAATAAAAATTATATAAACTAATGCAATCATGAAAGATTTCAATTTGAAATTTTAAAAAAGTTAAAAAAGAAAAAAAAGTAAAAAAGTAAAAACACTATTTTGTGCAGAATTTTATGCTGATTATTTTAGCCAAAAAAAAATTAAATTACCTTTTGAAATAATTGAAAAAAAACGAAAAACAAATTTGCTACCGTCAAAAAAAAAAAAAGACGCCTTATTCCGGATAGAGGTAATTATTATTTTATGTACCAAAAAAAAAAAGTAAACAAATTAGCCAGCAGCAATAAACAAATACACTTTTGAGTCCGGGATACAGTTAATTACATTTGGCTATTTTATTTTTTACCACTTTCATGCACATAATATAATATATTATGCTCATTAAAGTAATAAAAAATAAAATAGTCACAAGGGAAAAAATAATTGACACTAATCCAGATACAGCTATTTTTTTTAACATCTATAAAGTTAACGCATTTGTGTTAATTGTATTACTGTATTAAAGAATATGGATAATTTCAAACAAAAAGAAGAGCCGAATCCAGCTAGCTATTCAAGCTATTACTGAAAAAAAAATGTCATACGTACAAGCTGCTAAGTGTTATAGTCAGGGCCGGATTTACCTATAGGCCGACTAGGCCACGGCCTAGGGCCCCCAACATTTGGGGGTCCCAAAATTTAATAAACATAAAAAGTTGAAAACTAAAAATGTTGTAAAATTTATTTTTCATTAAATTCTCAATATTCACACTGTTTTGTTTAAATAATAAAATTTTAAATATAAAAATGAAAATTTTTTTTCCCCAAAATTAAATTATTTTAGGGGCCTCAAAAATGTTTTGGCCTAGGGCCCCCAAAAGGATCATCTAATAATCGAGGAGCGCCAAGAAAGTTGATTAATTCAAATTTATGAGTCATATTGAATAGAAAAGACGTGTTTATTGTTGTTGAAAACTATTTAAAAGAATCAAACCGACGTAGTCTATTCAACGACAGCAAACCGACTAGAAAATGGTACTCCGGTTTCATGAATAAATATCGTAAAGAAATTTGCTATAGCTACAACCAGCTATAATTGACAATTGGTTTGAGCAATTAGCAGTAGCATATAATGAACATAATTTAGGCGATAAGCCGTTTCAAATATTTAACTGTAATGACACATTTAATTAAGGCAAAATCAAAATTATTTGTAGAAAAGAAACAAAAAACCTTAAAAAGCTAGCACCATCGAATGAAAAGCAAATGACGACAATCTTGACTTGTTGTGACGCATTCGGTAATTATTTACCTCATCAAATAATTTATAAAGGCAAATATGTAATGGAAGACTGGTGCAAAGGCGGTGCCCAGAATGTTTATTATAACAGTAGTAGTTCAGGCTGAATGGAATCCGAACATTTTTTGTCGTGGTTTGAAACAGTTTTTTGCCTCACGCAAACAAACTTTCAGGATTTAAAGTTCTAATACTTGACGGCCATGCTTCACTTATGAGCTTAGAGTTGAAAAAAAAAGCTTTAGAAAATTATATTTTACTTTGGCGTTTGCCGGCTCATACCAGCCGTTTTTTACAGCCACTAAATGTTGGCTTTTTAAAGCAGTAAAAGGAGCATGGAAGAGAATTGTCGAAAGTTATTTGACTAAAAATCATTTTCAAAGTCTGATCAATCGACATTTTCCGGCCATGTTTAAGGCCTTAAACATGGCCGGAATACACTTAATTCACCGTCAAGAATGTCAAATCGTGATTTTTTGTTTAAAAAATTTGCTACTTTGAATAATGCTGTTCAACTAGTAGGAAAAGATATAAACAAATCAGTGTTAAATATGCTTCGAGATCAATTGACACCAACTCTAAATAAAAGAGTTCAAAAAAGTGAGAGAATAAAGCGACCAGCTAATTATAATATGACTTCGGCGGATGCCATAGCTTACGATGAAGCTAAACAAGCATCAAAAAAACAAAAATTAGATGAACAAGCTGGTAAGAAATTTACTTGAGTACAAAAAAAATTTCCACTGCTACTCAAAAAGCGAAAAATGCACAGAAAAGAGAAGAAAA